ACTTTATTATTTTAAAATTATATAATTTTTATCGGTTTAAGAATATAAAATATTGTGGGGACCAGCAGGTGGCACAGTGGTTAAGGTGCTGGACACTTCCACATGGCCAACCTTGGTTCGAGTCCCAGACCTGGTGGCTTGCTTTCTCACTTTCCCTCTCTCTCTCTCTCTGGTCAAATTAAAATATGTGAATGAATAAATAAAATTAAATAATCCTATAAAAAGAATATAAAATATTGTGATCAATTTTCTTTTGTTTTGATTTTTGTGAAATATTTGACACAGAAATATGTATATAGCATAACTTAATAAACACTTATGTAACCAACATCAAAATTATTAAATAAAACATTGTCAATATTGTTAAAACACATCCAGGCCTCTTCTCAATTATACTTCTTCTCCAGGACAATTTTTCAAATGAAGGTATCTTCTTAAAATTTGAGTTAAATAGTCCTGTTGTATTTTTATGCTAAACTATATATGAATGTGTTTGTAAAAAATAAATAGCATTTGGCATATTCCTAAGTCTATTCATTTTTCTGAGATTTGACTTTTTCATTGAAATTCTGTTAAAGAAATTATCCATGTTTTCTCCAGGAGCTCCATTCATTTTCTCAATATTTAATATCATAGAGTGCTGCTAGGAGTATTTTAATACAACTCTCCACGTACACATATGCAATAATCGGGATGCATACTCCAAGTGGATTTAGTATGTTACAAAAATTTTCATATTCAAGTAACATTCTATTGATAAATAGCTAAAAAACTTTTATCAATTTACTTATCACCAACAATATTCTGACAACAACAATGGATAAACTTTCTACCCATCAGGTTTCCTCCTTTCTTTTAATAAAACTATTAATTTTTCAACCTATTTTTTTGCTATTAGATTATCTTTTTCTGAATTGGTTTTTGGTTTTTATATATTCTGGCTATCAGTTTCTCATTACTTACTCTTTAAAAATAGTTTTTCCCAAACTATGACTTATCTTTTCATATCATTCAGCTTTTTTCATATTTTTTTACTTTTTATTTTTCCTATAGGGATGTTCAATTGCTTAAAGCACCATGGTTCTAAAAGCTACCATTCCTTCATTCAATTATTTTTGCACCTTTGTTGAAAATTAATTGTACATATTTATGTACATTTAATTGTACATATATTTCTATAGTCTATATTCTGTTCCATTCATTCATGTGTTTAACCAGCCACCAAAATCTCTCAGCCTTTATTATTATACCTAAATAATAGGTCTGATAAAGCAATTCCTCCCATTTTATCTTTTCTTTCCTTTTTTTAATTTAATTTATTTATTTATTTTTTTTGCCTAGGGTGTGTGCACTTGCTGGAGAGAGAGGGAGAAAGACACAGTGAGAAGGAAAGTGAGAAATCACCTTCCCAGGGAGTGATGGCCATGCTATAATTTCTTCTCCTCTGTTTTCCTACAGGGAATTTGGACATGCACACAAACATGCCTGGTGTAATTTTCAAGCCTCCAGATCCATGACTTAAACCATAGTCAACCATGTGGGAGTCCAGCACCTTAACCATCTTACCACCTACCGGCCCCAATTTTATCCCTTTTTTTAAAATTGCCTCAGGACTTGAACTGCAGTTGGCCATGTGGGAGTCCAACACCTTAACCACCATGCCATCTGCTGGCCCCTCATGTTTATTGAAGCATTATTCATAATTGCTAAATGGAACCAATGGAAATGTCCATGAAAGGATGAATGGATTGAAAAAGTGTGGAGAATATACATTATGACATACTACTCAGGCATAAAAACAATGAGATCCTGGTATTTTATATAAAGTGGACAAATATGGAAGATTTACTGCTAAGCAAAGGAAGCCAGACTATGAAAGAGGCATAATATGTCCCACTCAATATATACCAAATGGACTCTCTGACAGAAACTAAAAGATTGGAAGGTATAAAAAGGATGTGGAGCAATGGCGATAGTAGAAACAGTGCAGGAGGAAGGTGAGAAAATGGGGGGGGGACAGGAATGAGGGGGGGGGAATCAAGGGGAAAAAAAAGGAACAAAATATTCAAGGGACACAAAAATGGAAAATTATCTGTTGATGATAAGGTATATAGTAACATATATGACTGTGTATTCATGATGGAAAAATTTATTTGGTGTGCTATAATGATATGCAATAATTGAATGTAAAAAAATTAAAATAGAAAGGGAAAATAGAAAAAAGAATGATAATGTTCAATGATAACAAAAATTTCTATCTCTTTGATTACCTATTTCCAATTACTACCCTATCTTCATTAAAATGAAAAATAGAAATGATCATTGAAAGCATGTTTTTCTACTTAATTTTAAAATAAAAAGGTTTAATGTTTTCAAATAAAGTATAATTATTGTTCTAGGTTTTATTTTATTCATCCTTGATTTTTTTAAGAAAATATCTTTTTATCATGAGTAAACAATCATTATTTTTATGAACGATTTTTCTCTACCAATTTGTGTATGATTTTTCACATTTAATCTGTCCATGTAGTATCCCAGCCTGGGATATCACATGGGATAAGGGATTAGAGCCCATGGAGAATAGAGTAGCCAGTCAGTGTCTACTTTTTCCTTTAGTTATATGAAAATATTTACATAACACAATTTTATGAATATTGTGAACTACAAAAGAAATAAGCATAAATAATTATGCTCAATAATACTGCAAAAAATATAGATGCAAAAGCAATTTAAATATATAATAATTATATATCATTAGCATATGATAAACAAGATAAGAAAAAATGTCTATCTATAGTAGAACATCAGGTAATAAACTAAGAAGGAATAATGGATTATGAGAATTGTCTTTGGAGCTGGCAGGTGGCATGGTGATTTGGCTCTGGACTTCTACATGGCCAACTGTGGTTCATGTCCCAGGCCTGGTGGCTTGCTTTCTTTCTCACTTTCTCTCTCTCTCTCTGGTCAAATTAAGAAATAACAATAATAAATAAAAATTAAATGAATCATTATTTTAATTTTTTAAAAAAGAAAGAATTGTGTTTTTTCAGCCTCTAATAGATAATGGATAAGGGCCATGATCCACAACAGAACACACACTCTCTTCTGGAGTGGTGGTGCCAAAGAACAATCTTAATCTAAACAAACTGCTACCTATAACTCTTGATGGTATGTACAGTGTCAGGTACATGGGACTTATTGTACCATCCCCTTGTGCTATTGTATGCAATAAATAATTTGTATTATATATAAGCCATTAATTATAAATATCATGTCTTTTAATTTGAAAATTCATGTGAAATGGACCAGTTTTTTGAAAAATTTAAATGATTAAATGGGTCCGTAAAAATAGAAAACTTTCATCAACACAATCTGAAACTGTACTCTAACATCAAAACACCCTTGAAAATTTCAAGGATCAGCTAAGTTGGAAGGTCAGTTGCACTATATATTCAGGGAAAAAATAATCAGCATCTTATGAAATTCATCTGAAGGACCCTCCCAAAAATTTGAAATTGCTGAAAATGTTTTTACAGGTTAATAATTATGGGTAGAAAAACCAGATAAAGGCATTTTAAGTAAAGAACACTTGAGACAAAACTACTCACAATTAAGCGAATATCCTAAATACATTAATGGAAGATTCAATATTAGACTAAAATAAAAATGAAAAAAAATAGGATGTGTATAGGAATGCAAAGAAAATATAACAATTGTAATACCTACATAATAGGCTAGAGAAACTAATCTGTTCATACACGGAGGTACAAAAATAGCCTTTGACCAAAAATCTAACTAGTGCATGACAAAAATTTATAGCAAATTCATATTGGAAAGAAATGTCCATTTCCTAAAATCATCAGAAAAAAAACATGAACGTAAAATGTTTAAATAATTTCCATTACAGTCAGAAACAAAAAAACAGATGTATATTGCTACCTCCACTCTTGAAAAAAAGTATAGAAAACATAGCTAGCATGATAAGACTATTGAAACAAATGAGAGGAATGAATAATAAAAATAGAGATAATATTCAAATTCAGTGAAAATGTCATTGCCTGAATGTGCCTTGTCAAATAACCAAAAAGTCCCACAAAATACCAGGGCTCAGAAAATCAGCAGCTTAGTCCCTTTCCTGTAGAAATGAAGTATTTTATGGCTGGCTGGTGGTGTAGTGGCTAGATAAAGCATGTGCGGTGCTTGCCCAAAATCCGTAAAGAAGGAACAAATGGAAGAAAAGGGACTGCGATGTGACCATCCCTTCTTGCATTCCATCCCCCATCCCCAATCCTCTCCATCTCTCTCCATTGAGCACATGTGCCCTCTAGCAACATTTTAAAAAGAAAAGAAGAGACAAGGGAAGAAATTTTAGAACATAAGGTGCGTAAGAGACTCAGTCCTGCTAGTGACCAGAATGAATAAATTAGGATGTTTTTCCTTCTGACACTTATCTCCCGCCCTGGTCTCTGTGTAGGAATTTCTCCATCTACATGAAGGTTGGGGAAGAGACTCAATGCCAGTTCTGCAATGCATGTACTAAGGATATTCATCCAGGTTGTCTGGCATGTGGTATTTCCCAAGAAGCCTTAAATCAAAGAGAAAAGGAGCCAAAAATGGGGATCTCCATGAAAGAGAACTGAGGAAACCAATGGCACACAGAATAAAAGGGTCACAAAGACACCTTACAAGCACCAGATCTGAGCCTGAAAGGACCATACAAGGATTCCTATTCTGCCCTCCCCCCCAAAAAGACTTCCCTCCTGTTTCTCTGCAGAATTCTCAGGTTCATGAGGGCATAGGCATAAGAAGCATGACTTCAGCTAGGTAGAAGGAAAAAGCCCAGGGCTTGGAATAAGTCAGCTTGAGGACTCTCCGGGAGTACTTACCGCAGAATACCCCACAGCGGAAGTGAGAAGGGAGGGGCACAAACCTCAGCCCCTGCAGTCGGCCCTGGGAGACCCCAGGCAGGGATAGCCGGATGTGACGTTCCCTGACTTCCTCCAGAAGCTCTGAGCAGTGAGGCGTTGTCTGACGTGGTCAGATCGAGTCAGCAGAGAGAGAAATCGCAGGTGCGGCCTGGTGTCAAGGTAAGACTCTAAAATGAGACTGAGGGGAACTCTAAAGACTGAGGGGAACTCTGAAAAAGACTGAGGGGGAATTCTAAATAAGACTGGGGGGAATGGCTGCCTCAGAGTAGAGGAGGTTCCCACAGCTAAGAACTCTCGCCACGGTATGGGCCCTGGGAGGCGCTGGGCTGGGCTGTCTAGTGGAACTCGAGTCACACTTTGTCCTCTGGAACCTGATTGAAGCGAAGGCCTCACTGCGTAGGGGTGAGGGTCCCCAGACATGCCGGTAGTCCAGAAAAGACTCCTAAATGAGTCCTGAGAGGACCACCCGGCACAGGGCAGTTACGGACGCACTGAACCCTGGCTTCCTGTCAGCCATGATGGGGTCCGGGCAGGGGCAACCGGAAGTGCTCCTACTTTACTGACTTCTGCCTCCGGATACTGAGGAAGTAGGCCCTGGTCTGATAAAGGCAGTGCGGCTTCTGTGAAGGGAGGAGTCTCGGGCCCTATAGAAGTACGGGTGAGGATCTGAATGAATTTTGGGGGCCCTGCCCACCCTAACACAGAGGTTGTGCCACAGTGTCTTGACCCTGTCGTTAGCTCGCAATTTCCCAGGCGCATGATGTCTCCTTACTTGTGTGTTTCATAGCAGTTCCGACTTGGTTTGGAGAGGGCAGTATCACGCAGCAGACGGGAGTGGGTGTAATCACAGTCGTGATCAAATAACAGAATTTTGTGTGAGGCTGAGAGACCCACAATAGGGATTTCAGGCTGCAAAGCTCCCTCATGTCCTCTTGGTGTCTCCAGAAATGACGATTTTTCTGGAGTAAGTTGCATCAGGTCAGAGTCCCAGTCCCCATCTGGTGACACTGAGTTAAGTCTAAAGGAAAAGCACACCACATACAAGCATGGTCTTACAGGGCCAGCCTGTGGTGGTGGTTAAGCCAATTGGCTGCCACATGGCATATTGGGTGGTTGTAGTACCGTGCCCAGAAGTGTGACAAACACATGAGGTGTTATGTATGTGCTTGCCCAAAATCCTGAAAAGAGATATGGAGAAGGGAATCATAGCCTGACCATCCCCTATAGAGGGTGCTGCTCATTTTCCCATTGTCTCTCTGGTGAGCGCAAACTTCCTCTAGAATCTTTTTTTTTTTTTTTAAGTGTGATCTTAGAGATTAGGAAGATACTTTGGAGGCCAGCAGATGGCATGATTAAGGTGCTGGACTCCCATGGGGCCCATGGTGGTTCTAGTCCTGGATGCAGAGGCGCTCTCTCTCTCATGCATGCCCATGTACCAGTTTTAAAAATAGTAATAATAATAAATAAAATGAAATAATTCTAAACCAATAGACACCCACTCACTCTTCCATGGTGTTCACTAAGAAGTAGTCCATATTGTGAGGGAAAACTCAGATTTAAAGGAATTTAAAAGAATTTAAAAAGAACTTAAAAGAATTAAATTCCAGGCCATGCAAGGATTCAAGATAAGAATGCCAAGAGAAGATCACTTGAACCAAATAGTCTGGAACCATGGGACTACACTCTGTCTTTTTGGTCAGACCTGGGAGACCCCTGGCAGTGGGAGTTCACATATCAGACATTTTTGTGGCATCCTTTTTAGTTTACAGGAGGTATGATATTGGTCTGAGAGAGAGAAGTCATATCATTAGAAGATTCTAAGGTGCTTTTAAGGCTTCAAAGCAAGGACCCTGACTTAGGACTGAGAGAACCACCCACCCTAGAGCACAAGTGAACTAATAGTGTCTGCCCATGGTGTCTGTACTGGGAGGCTGGGATAGCCAAATGAACTGTCTCTTCACTTCCCCCTTGGGTAGCCATGGGAGGTGAATCTTCAGCACAAAGAGGGAACATCAGGCCAGCAGAGGAGTGGAGGAGTTTCATACAGGCTCAGAAGCCAAGAAGGAGACATTGAGTAAAGATGAAGGGGACACCCATTCTAGTAGTTAGGACCCTATAAACTCTTTTCTGCCTCCTCTTTCAGCCTTTGGAAACCCAAGGGTAGGAATGGTAAGAATTTCCACATTCTTTATCTTCAGAGGTCTCAGGGAAGAGTGACTTGGTCTGAATGGTGGCCTTATGGTTAGGTGTGGACAGGGTACCAGGAGGCCAAGTGAGGATACAGAGTTAAAACTGAAGATACTACCCACATCAGGACAAAGGTGATCCAGCAGAGCTCCACTTCTGCTATCAATCCAGGGTGTCTCAGAGATAACCTGATGAAATATTTCTTCTCTTCCTTCTTGAGGTTTTGATGAGGTGCAGTTTATGATATGCAGGGCCAACATCACATCAGGTCAGCAGAACAATCAATCCTAAGGTCTATTAAAATAAAAACAAATAATCTGAAGGGGTTCTCCAGTGGTCCACCCATCCCAGAATAGAGAGCCTCTGCTCTCAGTGCTAGTAAGCCAGAGTGTGGTGGATGAATGAGATGATACTTCCTTTCTTCTCAGTTGTCTCAAGAAGATAAGGCCTTTTTCTAGCAGGGATGACATTAGCTTTCAGAAAGTGAGGACTGAAGTCCAAGTGAAGGCTCAGGGAACCACACATCCCAGAAGACAGGGGCTTAGTGTAGCTTAGCCTAGCCCTGCTCTCAGCCATGGGAGGCCCTGGACAGGGCTGTCAGGCTGATATATCTCCTTATATCTTGCTTTGTGAATTAAGGATGATAAAGATTCTAGTCTGAGGAAGTGATCCTAAGTCCTAGACACTTCCATTTGTCAAGGGAAGAACCCAAAGTGAAACTAATGAGAACACTCACCCCAGAACAGTGATCTCAACAGAGCTCTATCCTGCTATCACACTTAGGAAATCTAACTAAAATGGTCGGATGTGATGCCATTTCAATTCACAGTATGATGTGGGGCAATATCAGGTTAACAGGGGGAAGGAATTCATGATCCATCATGTCCTGAGGCATAGACCTTGATTTAACAAAACATTGGCCATCCACTCAAGTATAGATAGGACCCCACAATACTTATTTATCTCAACCTTTTAGTCATTACTGGGAGTCTCTAGACAAGGATGGCCAAAAATATCACCAATTTGCTTCATACACTAGGTTGTTAAGCATATGGTGGTCTTAGTCTGAAGACTGCATATTTGCATATTCAATAGATTCGGTGCCCAGAAAGTATTCAGAGCCTATATGAAAATACAGAATAAAGATTTTAAAGGAATCTATATAGGGTCATGAAAGAGCACTGGTAACTTTACCAGCCCAGGGAATCCTGTACAAGAATTGCACAAAGTGTTGCCCAATCTCTTCCTTTTGAAAGATTTCAGTCAGGTGAAATCTTTGATCTGTGTGCCTATAACATATCAGGTCAGAAGATGAAAGAGTCCGTGGACTGTCAAAAGTCACTGTAAGGGAGATGAGTGAGGTCTCCTGTGTCCACTTACCCCAGAAGAAAGGGAGCCCCAGTGTCTATTCCTTGTGACTAGCCCCATGAAGCCTTAGTGGTACTGGAACGTTTCTTTTCTCACTTCTTTCCCAGGTGACTCAGAAAGATGCATTCTTATAGGCAGAGCATGTGACATTAGTTAATATGATGGTCGTGCATTAGACCCTATTGTAGCAAAGGCAACAGCCTAAGTGAAAACTAATGGAACAACCATTCCAGAAGAGTGGATATTTCAGTCAGGTCCTACCTGCACTGTATTCAATTCTCAAGAGAGAATTGTTAGGTGAAGGTGTAAAATTACCTCACTTGAGGTCTCAGGGAGATAGTCTTTGGTCTGAGGGACGAGAATAAATTAACAAAAAACATTGGGTTCCTGGAGCTTACTAGATCAAAGTAAAGCATCCTAGTGAGTGGAGTACATTTGCCCCCACAGAATTTAGCTTCTGCACTCATCCCTTGAAAACTTCAGGTAGAGTAGCTGGAGGACATACCTCCACAATTCCTCCTCCTCTTTTATAAGATGTGACTTTAGTCTTAGGGAGGCAGTCTCACTACTAGCACAGAGGAGGTGGCACAGTTGTGGTCAGATGCCTGATAATTGGCACTTGTGGCCATAAACTGATGGCACTACCCTCAGAGCACAAGGAACTCTATGGAGCACAAAAACAACTGTCTATTCTGAACTTGACAGTCTCATCTTGGGTTGACTGCCTGAACCCAGGAAGATGTTCTTTTCATGCTTCAGGTTCTTAGGGGACACAGAAACCAGGATGAGAGTTGAAATGATACTGTTGTCAGGAGAAGCCCATTGGCAGAGCCATTCTAGTTCAGTTTGCCTGCTTAGGACATTCACATCCTCTCTCTCTTCCTCAGGTAGTGATCTCCCATCACTTACCTTTCGGCCTACTGCCACCCGCAAGAGCCATGATGTCTCAGGATCAAGAGAGTCCACAGTGCACAGATGATCAGCACCTCCAGAAGCACGGTGAGGCCCAGGGCTCTCAGGTTGCTCAGGGCTCCAAGGCAGTGGAGGAAACTTCTCACTACTCCTCTCACACTCTGATGCCTGTCAACCTGAGTGAGGCTGCTTCTGCTGAGGCACCCAGTGCTCCTGAGGGTCCTCAGGGTTTCTTCACCTCTTCCATTGCCATCATTGCCACCTTATGGCGTAGATGTGATGTGGGCTTCAGTAGTGAAGAAGAGGAGAGTTCAAGCACCTCAGAGGATGAATCAGATGATGAGAATGTGCCTGCTGATGCTCTTGATCAGAAAGTGGCCTTGTTGGTTAATTTCATGCTGATCAAGTATCGAATGAAAGAGCCAATAAGAAAGGCAGATATGCTGAAGATCGTCGTACAAGAGGAATTCCCTGAGATCCTCCTGAGAGCCTCTGAGCGCATTGAGATGGTCTTCGGTCTTGATGTGAAGGAAATAGACCACTCAAGCCAGCGTTATGGCCTCTTCATCAAATTGGGCCTCACCTACGATGGCATGGAGAGTGGTGAAGACAGCATGCCCAAGACTGGCATCCTGATACTCATCCTGGGTGTGATCTTCATGAAGGGCAACCGTGCCACTGAAGAGGAAGTCTGGGAAGTGCTGAATATGACCGGAATCTATTCTGGGGAGGAGCATTTCATCTTCGGCGATCTCAGGAAGCTGATCACCCATGATTTGGTGAAGGAAAACTACCTGGAGTACCAGCAGGTGGCTAACAGTGATCCTCCACGCTACGAGTTCCTGTGGGGCCCAAGAGCGCATGCTGAAACCACAAAGATGAAGATCCTGGAGTTTGTGGCCAAGGTTCATGGGACTGACCCAAGTTCTTTCCCTTCTCAGTATGAGGAGGCCATGAGAGATGAAGAAGAGAGAGTCAGTGCTGGCCCCACCTCTGTGGCCACTGCGGGTTGTAGTGCTGAGTCCAGTAGCTTTGCCTCCTCCAAGTAAAGTCAGGGTAGATTGTTCATATGCTGTTGAAGAAGGAAGTTGGTGTTTAGAAAATGTAGGTTCAGGTTGGGGCTAGAGGAAAACAAAATATATCATCTGTGTGTTCCTATTTTGTATAATGTGACAGCATTTTTTATTGTTTGATAGCTGTAATACTCAAATGCTGATTTGTTCTAATAGAGACTTAGTTACCTTCAAAATCTCTAAGGTTTAACTGATATTGATCACACATTTAGTAGTATTTATGAGGTTTCATAGCAAGAGTTTTGTTATTTTGTAAAAGTAAAATTTTCCATCTTATTTTGTGATTTGGAGTAAGATAACATTCCATTTCTTGGGCATCTTGAAAATATGAAATCACTCAGTTCAAGTTGCTGTCAATAGAGATAGAGAAAATTGTAAAAGATACTCTATTCTTATCTGTCTTATATCTCTTTTAGTCTCTTGTTCTGTAAAATTAAATGTTATGTGCAGGATGTACCTACCTCTTCCAGAGTGTATGGAAATAAATCTTAATAAATTAGACCACATGCTCACTACTCATTCATTTCTCAAAACTGCATTGAGCACCTGCTTTTTGGAAAGCATTGCACTATTCCTAGGGATACTTGGATTATCAAGACTGGCCTCTGCCCTTAGAACTTTAACATAGGAATAATGGTCTATAAGGGTAATGACAGGATTTTCTAATACCTAAAGGACAAGTGAAAAGAAGCTATAAGTAGATAGCAGTGGGTAGTCCACAAGAATTTGTCAAGTAAGAGTTTATGCCTTGAACTCTTAGCATGGCAATTTGAGACTTTCGAAAACTTTATCCTTCAGTGGAAGTTAAATTTACATTAAGGCAAGTGATATGCCAGGTGAGGCTGAGGTCATCGTAATCAGGGACCTGAACCTCAAATGGTGTGTCTCAAAGTTGAGACACAAAGTCTGTAGTAGTAAACTACTGTTAGCTATTACTTTTGTATCATGAGTAAACCACAGAAAAATTCCCTTCTTTAAAAGGAATGGAAGATATCCTCTTACCTTGTCCCAGGACAACTTAACACAGTGCACAGCACAAATTAAGAACTTTAAAGACATCATGCCCAAGGAGTTTCTGACAAATAAGGTATAATACTCTTGCAATTAGATACTTAGAATCCACTGGGGTGGGATGGGGTGAGGTGGGGGAGGGGGGAACACTAGGCCTTGACCTAGTGGATCCAGTGACCACTTCATTTAAGAAAAATTTTAATAGGTAATATTTGCCATTTGGAAAACAATAATCAAGGGATGAAATATTAGGGACTGCAGGTGGTGTGGTGGTTAGAGTGTTGGATACCCACATGGCTGACCACAGTTCGAATCCTGAATCCAACAGCTTGAAAATCATGCAAGGCTTATGTGTGTGCATGCCAAAGATTTTGAGAGAAGAATGGAAAAGAGAAGATTGTAGTGTGGCCATCCCCTAAAGGGATGGTTTTTCACTTTCTCTGTCTCCAGCAAGTACATGCCCTGTGGCAAAAACTTAAACAGAAAAAATTGGTGGGGAAGAAATGATAAAGGGGAGGTGGAATTGGATGGAAGGGCAGTTGTAAGTTGATTCTTGACACAAATTCCCTAAAATATCAGTTATATTCAGTTGGAGATGACACCTAAATACTCTAATAACAAGCTTTTATGTAAAGATTTTACAAAGTTTTATTTCCTAACAGACTTTTCTGTATGATTTAATATTACATGCCCCATAGCTCTTTCTTATTGCTAAGAAAACCTGAATTTAGAAACAAACAAGTACTATTCTAGTACGTTTTGTTGCTAAATCTGAGTGTGGGTAAATTATAAAAATGAAAGTTGATTCAGATCATGCTTTGGAAGTCCAAGGTCCACAGGCTGTATCAGGTGAGAGCCTTCTTCCTGGTCAGTAATATGTCCAACGGAAGGATCGTACAAGTCTGTGTCTCTCTGTCTCTGTTCTGGTATCATTCTCTCTCCTCATAAACCCACAAGGAGTCAATCATTGGACCACACTTTGACGCCTAGTAACTTCCCAAACACCTTACTCTTCAACACCATAACCAGAATAAGTCTCCTTTTAATAACTTCACAATGCAACTAAATTTCATCACGTGTATTTTTGGGGGATATGTTTAAACCATAGCACACACAAGTGAGTGGTAGAATTTGGGATCAACATCATAATATTGGTATAAATGCTATTCACTCAAGTTCCAAGCTATGCCAGACACTATGACATATATTTTGTATACTTATTACGTACTCCAGTCATTCTAGAAAATAAGACTTATCAAAAGAAAATCACCTGAAAATACTCAGGGTGGCATCAGCTGGTGGTGTGGTGGTTAAGGTAGCTGGATCCTACATGACTTACTATACAGTTTGAGTCCTGGACCTAGGGACTTGAAAAAAACACTGTGTGTGTCTGTGTGTGTGTGTGTGTGCCTAAAGTTCCAAAAAGGAGAAATGGAGATGGGATTGTGGCGTGATCATCCTCCATGGGAGGCACTTACTCTTTCTCTTGCACTCTCTCTGTCTCTGGCAAGCTCATGTACTCGTTAATAAAGAACAAAGGTTTAGAGAGCTTGTGATTCTGTTCAATTTCACATGCCTAGGACATGGCAGGGCTGGGACTCTACCTTTTCTTTGAATTTGTCTAGAATTCAATTTATTCTACTCTTCTCAGCCTGAGAAAACCTCTGTTTCTTAATTTATTTCTCTTGTAACTACTTTTTAAAAAGGATATTGCAGGCAAAAAATTGAAAGAAAGTTTAAAGAAAGAAGGTTGAAATGTGGCCTGTAGACTTCATTTACCTAGATTCTTCTTCTAGTCCTAAGTGAAAGGGGTGGCACTTTTGTGTAGCCCCAGCTCTTTCTGCATTACCAATATCCTTTCACTTTTCCAGTATGCACTCTTGTCCAAACTGAAATCTAACCTGTTCATCTGATCCCATCCTCCTCCAAAGGCTATACCCTGCTCTCAGTAGAATAAATAGTGCAGAACCACCTGTCCTCCTCAGAATCCCAACTTCTTGCAGATTCCATCCCTCACCATTGTACACTTCTGACAACAAAATCCTATTGTAGGTAGATGGTAACTTTGAGAGTGAAATTCTGATCTGGCCACCCTGCTGGGCATCTCTGCCACATCCTCCATGTCCTCATAAGTATTTACCCAAGGAGCTAGTTGTCGCTTCAAACGACGACGCTGACAAGGTCTTCTCCAGAACGCTTTATTACCCCAGGCTTCTTACAATCTTCTTCCTCCTTCCTCCATTCTCCCCAGCCTTCTCCCTCCTTCCTTCTTTCTCCGCAGCTTTTTTTTTGCCCACCCGGGCTCCCTATATATCCGTCCCGCGAACCAGTCCTCTTTTGCCACCAGGCAAGCACTGATAGGCTGAGGCAGTGCCTACGCGTTCCGGAACAGGAACGATAACCAAATATGGGCTTGTTTATGTAGAGGTCTGGGTGCTCTCGGCGCCATGTTAGGGCGGGGGCGCTCTACAGCTAGTGAATACTGTTTGATAGGGCATAGAATATACTAGTTTGGGGGATATAAGAATCAAGTTGATAACAGGCTTTTGAAACCAGACAGTCACAGTAGAATATTTTAATATTTTATCTGAGACTGACCCCACACTGGACCCATAGAACTATGAGTGATACGCCATGTTAGGGCGGGGGCGCTCTACAGCTAGTGAATACTGTTTGATAGGGCATAGAATATACTAGTTTGGGGGATATAAGAATCAAGTTGATAACAGGCTTTTGAAACCAGACAGTCACAGTAGAATATTTTAATATTTTATCTGAGACTGACCCCACACTGGACCCATAGAACTATGAGTGATATCAAGATCCTGAGAGGAGAAGGGATTGTGGCATGGCCATCCTCCCTGTAAGGTGATTTCTCACTTTTCTTCTTTCTGTCTCTCTGGTGAGCACATGTGCCCAATCATAAAAGTGCCCCAAAAAAAAAAAAAAAAAAAAAAAAAAAAAAAAAAGGTTGGGATCAAAACATGCAGAAAAATAATAAATGATCAATATTTTTTCCCACTTGCCATTTAATTTTTTCTAGAGAGATTTTTGCTATATGGTACATGCTCTTGCCGGCAAGACAGAGACAGAAAGAGAGAAATCACCCCCTAGGGGAAATGACCACACCATAATTCATTCTCCTCCATTCTCCTCTTGGGATTTTGGACATACGTGCACACGTGTGCAGCATGAGTTTCAAGCCATCAGGTCCAAGACTCGAACTGTGGTCAATTATGTGTGAGTCCAGTGACATAACCATTACACTATTTGCTGTTCCCTTGCCATTTAATTTTTAGCTTTATAAAATTAAGTTATTATGCATGGGTTACTTATTTATATTGGTATGAGAAATAAAAGAACATAAATTAGACCCATGTTCACAGTGTGTTTTATTTTTCAAACCTTCACTGAACATTCACTCTTTGGTAATAATAATTTTTCTTAAACTGTAATAATTGCCAGTTTTATTCCTCCAGCTAACAGAATCAGAGGTAATTTGAGGTTTACAATTCTTTTTTATAGCTTTTTCATCAAGCGTTTAAGTGCCCCCATCTTTTTTTTTTTTTAAGAGGTTTTGGCTATAGGGTTCATGGGCTTGCCAAAAACAGAGAGAGACAGAGATACAGAAAGCAATAAATCACCCCAGGAGGGATGACCATGCTGCAATCCCTTCTCCTCCATTCTCCTCTCAGGATCTTGGGCACGCACGCACACGTGCCCTGTGTGAGTTTAAGCTACCAGGTCTGGGACTCAAACCCTGGTCAACAACATGGGAGTCCAGCGACATGGCCATTACACCAACTGCTGGTCCCGCCCCCATTGTCCTTTAAGTTGGTTGCAAATTACTTTACTTTTAATTATTACAAAAATCCTTTTTGTGTGTGGGACATGTATTCTTTAGAAAATACATATAAGAGGAAAGTAAAAAAACAAAACAAAACTTTAAACCACACAGAGTTAAGCATTGTTAAGTTTTTGAAATATGTATGGATATAGACACGCATAATTTGGAATTTTAGCCTACATATGTGAGCTGATACTAAATATGCTGCTTTATAATCTGTTATGCCTTATATTCATTATGGAATGAATATATTTCCTTGCATATGTGTGAAACTTCTAATTAAAAAAATAGACCTGGAGAATGAGCCAAAATCCAATGAGTTGCTGGTCATGGGAAAACTAC